TACCATGAGCATATTCAGTCTGATTTTGAATGGTGCGGCTTTCACCATTCATTTTTCAAACACCAATCCACCTTGGGGTAAGTGCAAAACAGTGCAAGGCAGTACTAGGAAATCATTGAATCTGCTCCGTCTTTAGCTCGAAATCGTGATACTGTTTGAATCATGCAGTCCTATAAATTCCAATTAGCATTGCCTCAACCCGGACGATAAAACTCAACGTGAGAATCGAACTGGGAATACAATGTGTGTATTATGAGGATAAGTATTCAGGAAATTTTTCGCCATGTATCAATGTCATGAAGTTGCAGATATGATTTCACGGAAATCACACAGCTTATGAGTTTTTCAGCTTGCGACTCACTCAATCTTGGACCTCTCCACATCTTGACCCTCTCAGCTTAGCCCCTCCTATAGTGATATAATTGGTGCCAATATCCACCCCGGACAACGATGGCCATATCAGTATGGCGAGTATTCGTCATGTTCATCCTTCAGCTCTCCTCATTCTCATCTCTCTTACAGGTGGGTAGCGTCAGCGATGATATCTCCCCCAGGTCCGCTGGTTCGATCTTTCGATTTCGAATGAACTCACTCTTGCCTATTGCCCACAAACTTTTCTTTCCTCTACGCCAGTTGCTCTGCTCTATGACCATCTCCTCACTCTAGGTGAGTACGAACCGTTTCATCGTGTGTAGCGGCGTCCTAATCCCATACACCACTGGGATAGAGCAGGAAATTCAATACATATGGGCTCAACCAAAACGTCGGAGCGCGATTTCGTACTTCGTCCTCAGATATCTGGTGTCTTGCGGGGAGATTGTAATCCTGGTTTTCCGCTTCTATACACCACCGTCTCCCAATGTATGTCTCCTTTCCCTTACTATGATGGTATGCTTCAGCTGACAGCTTTGTTCATTCGATCTTCGATGTCTCTTCCTTTCAAATCATCATCGGTCTCCACAACTTCCAGACGTGAATATCTCAAAGATCTAATCCACATCAATCCAACATTGACTCGTGTCCTTTTTGGTTAGGTGCAATTTATATCAAACGTTCATCAATGTCTATACGCTGGTGGTGGAATTAATTGTCCCTAGTATGTGGAGAAACCATCGCTGTGTTTCATTCTGCTCAACATGAGACGTGATAGTCCTTCTTGCCATGAGAGTGTATGCGATGTACGAGCGTAGCCGGCATGTCTTTTGGGCTCTTTGGATCGCATTTGGCTGTCTTTTACCTGTAGTCGTGGTATGTGAATGTTCATGTTTCCTGGCATGAAGTGATCGATCTAAATTTCTGCAGTGGTCCGTTGTAGTTAGCAGCTTGGGCACAGTGCTGCTGGAAGGCTTGGTCTGCGACAGGTTTTTCCCTGAGCAAAAGTGATTTTCAACGTGTCATCTTTCATCGTTTCTGTGAAGCTCATTTTTTACTATTTTACAGAGCGACTTGTCAGTCTCTTGTTCGGCAAACTCCTACCTTGTTCAACTTCTGATATTCGACATTGCTTACAGTTTTGGCTATAACATGGGGATGTGCTCTTGCTTTCGACACTTTGATTTTCTGCCTCATAGCAAGGAAATCAATTCAAGCCAAGAAAACCTATTCTGACATGGAGATACAGATCCCGTTGATGAGCTTGATGGTTCGAGATGGTATGTCTTTTTTTTAGTTCGTCTACATAAGTCCGCTTCCGATGATTTCTGATAATTGATTATACTTCTTTAGGTTTGGCCTATTACGGGTATGTCAAAGGAAGCTCTGATATGATTGAACAGACTTACTAATGCTGATGAAGGGTTATCTGCTTTGTCCATTTCGCCAACATCGTCCTTTGCGTGAGTCAAAGTCTGCTTCTGATCTGAAAGTCCGTATCTGACATCCCTGGCTGACAGGCAACAAGAGTAGGCACAGTTTTTGCTTTTCCTATTCCAGCGAGATCGTCTGACAATCTACGCTTGCTAGTCTTCAAGCATGTCAGCATTAACAAGAGAGTGAGTACAATAGATCGAAGAGGTCCAGTATCAATCTGATATTTGCTTCCCCCTCAAGCCTGTCCGCTACAATGGTTCTACGACTAATGCTGAACCTTCACGAGAATGCCTCCAAGGGTATCTCACAAACACACACCAGTAACGACGAATATGAATTGAGCCCCCACTCTGCAATGATGTTCAATACAAATCCAGCTATGAGATCGGGTTTGGGGACGACAACTCAATCGATGTCGGATACACCTCCAATGGATGGCATGATAACCACAAAGTCGAAATCATCGACTGCGAGAACTCTACTAATGAATAGCAATGCAGTCTCTGAGGCGAATACACTACAATACTCAGGAGTCCAGACGGCAAGTCATTCAGAGTCAGAGAATACGGAGATCACTGTATGTAGCATTGGACCGACATTCCCTATGGTATGATCTATTAATTATGTATATGATTCGAGTAGTAATAATCACCATAAGCAATACTTATGATTATCACAAGACAACAGACTGCCCCTTTGCTCTACATTCTTCTATGTCGTCGTCGTATGAGCCAAAAGTGTAGAGATCTTCCAAGGTAGTGGGGACTATTGGGGATCGGTTGAAACTTGAGCTTAAACTTGGAAGTACTCAACATATTGACAATGCCGATGTAGGGTTGCCTGGAGGCCGGAATGGCTTGATTAACCGTTCAACACACTACTGTTATATATATACAGAACGGGAGTTCAAATGTTCTTCTTCTGTTCCCTTCTGTTCCTTCCTTCAAGACTCCTTCCTCCTCGCTCGACGCTGGCTTCGTCTTCGCTCACAGACACATTGCTCCGATATTTCTGCGTAGTGGCTGAATCAGGCTCATTACGCCAAGATCAAGCGTCATATTTCCAAGCTTGAGACCAGTTAGGACCAGTTCCACAAAAGGCATTTCGCGGTATAATGATCAAATAACTCACTCTGGCGACAACTAGCCCCTGGGCCTGAGGTGAAAAAGCATCCCCCCTCTGGATTTTCGAGTAAGCTTGCACTGGTAGACCTACTGCAAGATAGAGAAAACATTTCAAAAAGCTCAAAATTCGAAGGTCCATTATCTAAATCGCTTGTGGTGGTGGTAGTTGTGTAAGAAGCAAGAAGCCAGCTTTGACTTCGTACGTCATCCAAGTCTTGGCCTGGTGGTAGTCAAGACTCAAAATGGCCGCCACTACTGCTCTCGTATCTGTCCGCAGCAAAAAGGCCCAAAATCTCTTGGCTGCTCTGGCCATCTTCCTGCTGCTCAAAAATCTCTCAACCAAGGAATTTGGGCGTCTGGCGTATATATATTTACTATCGACCACCGTTTATCTAAACGTGGCTCACGTCTTGCTCGCCACTCTTGCATCATCAGTCGCGGATAGATGAACGTGTTGTAAGTCTTTTTTCGGTTCTGCTTCTCTTCCGTTAGAGTTCATGAACATTGACCATATAGTACACATCGCGCATCAAGGCGAACATCCTTGTTGCAATTCCTTCCGAACCTTTTTGACCAATTTCGTGCACCGTTCACCCGTACACGCTCAGACTCTAATAACTCTTCAACGAGCGAGATGTCGTCACAATCCGCTACAGTCGAAAGAGATAGTACCGAATCGATATCACTCACAGTCAACTATGTCCCGTCGAAATTTTCTGGTGCATTGGTGGAACCTTCTATGCCACGGCGACGGCGTCCAAAAAACGCCATGACTGGTGTTGAAGCCATGGGTATAGCTCGTGGTGGAGGGGTCGACGCGTTTAGAACGGACGAGGCCAGGATACCTAACGAGAATGACGAAGACTACGATGGTGTCAACGTATCCAAATCATGGCGGGTTGGCGACAAAATATTCCGATGGAGAACGAAGCAGAACAAACTTCGGTGGAATACTTTCAAAATAGTCCTTTTCATGTCCAACACCGTCTTCACAGTCTTCTCCTTGGTAACCTTGATCTTTTGCATCCTCATATGGTTCGACGATTTTCAAAATGCGGATGTCATTCGAGTCGGAAATCGTACGGAGCTCGTTTTCAGCACTCTCGCAGCGGCATTTGGCTTGTTCACCGCAATGATTGGCTGGGCCGGTATACTACTCAACAATCGCGGTTTCCTCGCTGTCTATACGTTCTTCCTCTGGATAACCTTCGCATTCCTAGTCGTCCCAGGTTATCTCACGTATAAGAAGCGAACCTTCAATCTTGAAGGCAAACTCAATGCCCAATGGTCCCGTGTCCTCGGAGCAGAGGGCCGCCTACGAGTCCAAAATCGACTACAATGCTGTGGCTGGTTTTCGCCTTTCGTCGAGGCTACCATCTCACAAACCTGTTATGCACGATCTTCACTTCCAGGGTGTAAACTCGCGTACATGAACTTGCAGAGGCGTATATTGGAAAAATGGTACACCATCGCGTTCGGACTCGTGCCTCTACAACTTGCAGCTATAGTTGCGGGCCTCCTATGTTCCAATCACGTCACATATAGGTTTGGGAAGGGCATGATGCCAAAAAGATACCAATTGAATCCAAACGCGATGAAGGTTATAGTGGACAAATATACCAAGTGAGCATAGATCTACGTCCATTCGTTCTGACTTGGAATCATCCATGCTAACACTATCTTTCCAACAGCGAGATCGCAGAACAGTACGGTAAGAACGTCGCTTCCGATGTAATCGTCAGGTCTGGCATGCAAAGTTACGGCTCGAGTCTTGTTCATGATAGTAGCGCTTCGAAACTACTTACCGGTTCTCCATCAAGCTGAGGTGGGAGAAAGGAGACATCTCGATGACAAACGGGGCATCCAACGAAGAGTTATACTTGAAGTATGGGCTTTTGACAGGAATATATACACGAGGGCATAGATTATCTTCCTGATTACACTATATGTACATACGATCTATAGGAAACATTCGTTCACTCTACAAAGCGTTATGTACGTTAATTCTTAGACACGACAGAACGATGTACACAACGAAAAATGCGAATATGTATGAAGAAAAAAACATGCCTCCTGCCAGACTTGAACTAGCGGCCTTTGCATTCATTTCCCAGGGTTGGTACGAGTGCAACGCTCTACCACTGAGCTAAGAAGGCATAATCGTAGTCCATCGTAGTTTATATCGTTGGTGACTGCAGAAGATTAAAGAAGATTTGCAGAGGATTGCACAGATAATTAATCAGAACGTGACATGTGACAAGAAGTGACAAGAAGTGACAGCGCGACGCGTCAGTCTTCGTTTCTTCCTCAGTGTTTCTCCCTATCTCCTTATCCAGCATGCCTTCACTACGAGGAACACCCCTTGGTAAACTTGACTATCAATTCTTGCTGCCAGGTGCTAACAGGGATTTCAGACTCTAAAGCACCTTCAGTTCCCGGCGGAATCAAAGCTTACTATCAAGCCAAGATCGAAGCTGCTGAACTTACAATCAATCAGAAAACGCAAAACCTAAGACGACTAGAGGCACAGCGGAATGCGTTGAATGCAAGAGGTGACGCTCTGACTTTGTGGCCTGCTGCCCTGCTCATCAATATCTTGTAGTTCGATTGCTTCGAGAGGAACTACAGTTATTACATGAACCCGGCTCATATGTTGGCGAAGTCGTCAAGGTCATGGGAAAGAACAAAGTGCTGGTCAAAGTCCAGCCTGAAGGGAAATACAGTGCGTACACTGCCATGAACTATGCTGTCTTGAACATCAACCCCTTCTGCAGTCGTCGACCTCGATTCTGAAATTGACATTAACGCCCTAACACCAAATCTCCGCATTGCCCTCCGTTCCGACTCGTATACCATCCACAAGATTCTACCTAATAAGATCGACCCTCTCGTCTCACTCATGATGGTTGAAAAGGTGCCCGACTCGACATATGAAATGGTCGGTGGTTTGGACAAGCAAATAAAGGAAATCAAGGAAGTTATCGAACTTCCGGTCAAGCACCCTGAACTGTTCGAGAGCTTGGGTATCGCTCAACCCAAGGGTGTGCTCTTGTATGGGCCTCCCGGAACGGGAAAAACATTGCTTGCAAGAGCTGTCGCTCACCACACCGATTGTAAATTCATCCGAGTCTCCGGATCTGAGCTGGTACAGAAGTATATCGGAGAGGGCTCAAGAATGGTCCGCGAGCTTTTCGTCATGGCGCGAGAGCACGCTCCGTCAATTATATTCATGGACGAAATCGACTCGATTGGTTCATCGCGTGGAGAAAGCGGTAGTGGCGGAGGTGACTCGGAGGTACAAAGGACTATGTTAGAATTACTCAACCAACTCGATGGTTTTGAGAGTACCAAGAACATCAAGGTCATTATGGCTACAAATCGAATTGGTCAGTGAGGTCGTTTATGGTAAAGTCAAAGTCACTGTTGATTAGGTTTGTGTCGTTCCCTCAGATATTCTCGACTCCGCACTTCTTCGACCTGGTCGTATTGATCGAAAGATCGAATTTCCACCACCTGGGCCTGAAGCTCGAGTCTCCATCTTGCGAATTCATTCTAGGAAGGTTGGTGCTTTTGTTTCTGCTCATGTTATCCTCTGCCTGACTATCATACCTAGATGTCGCTCCAACGAGGCATCAATCTTCGCGCACTTGCCGAGAAGATGGGTCAGTGTTCTGGAGCGGAGGTCAGAGGTATCTGCACAGAAGCCGGTAAGTGGAGCGTGCATAACACGAAGTTAATGTTTGCTAACGAATACTACAGGAATGTACGCTTTAAGAGAGCGTCGCCAACATGTTACCCAGGAAGATTTCGAATTTGCTGTAGCGAAGGTATCGTACTCTATGAGCTCTATATTTCTCTCGCCTTCTGACAACGTTGGTTTTGCATAGGTCCTGAAAAAGAATCAAGAAGGCAATACCTCCGTCAACAAGCTTTTCTCATAATGTCTGGTACTCCATGTACTTACCTTGTTGTGAATATTCACGTTGGACGTGGCCGTCATAGAGTCTTTGCGAGTATTGCTCCGAGTCGAGTATATTTCATTTGGACGAATATGTTTAGAATCGTGCGTCGAAGTCTTCGTAATGTGCAAGCGTAACCCAAAGGTGAAAATAAGATCTGCATGTAGTCGAGACGCTTTCTGAATGTGAGTAATTGCCATGACAATGTTAGGGGTATAGACTCTAGAGAAAGATTTGCCTGCTAGTTCGAAGCAGAGATATTTCGTGTAGATGCCTACTCTCGATTCAAAGGTATGAACATGCTATGATTGAAATTGTTCTTGGAAACCAGCTTGAAGCTCAGAACCAAAACCCTTAGATCCCGGGCCTGCTACGAAACTCGAAGCGGTGGCACCAAGCTCTTGAGGGAGCAGTTAGAACGAATGTCCCACTGGACGCGTCGCACTAAAGCGCATTCGTAGGACTTCTCACTACAACCGACCAAAAATATCGAGTTTCCGCAGAGACGCGGAAACGATACAAAAATGCTATTGCGATATGTACAAGTAACTACTAATGCCTACAGGGAGTGACAGATATACATACAAAAAATGCTAGTAAGAGAAATGATAATGAATGATGGAGTGGTTTTCGGTACGTGTTCCAAGTCCCAAAAAAATGCAACGTAAAATCATGAAGGCACGCCAATGAAATGGGGAATGACGACGACGACGACGACGTGACGGTCTTTAGTCGTAGCTAGGGAGGCGAAAGTGCTCCAGCTGAGGATCGACCACCGTGCGAGATTCCTGGTAGCTTGGCTCCTCCTCCGAAAACAAGTTTCCGGGGTAAACTTGAAGGTCGGGATCGAGCTGAGGAAACAGATATGTTGAGGAGCTCAGATCGAAACGTGGCTCATTAGCGAAGGAGAATGTGGTGGCGTTCAATGCGGGGTTGGTATTATACGCCCAGGAAAGATCCGTTGTCGATGACCCGAAATCGATACTGCTTGAACCACTGGCGACAGGTTTCGAGTCGGAGTGGTTCGTAGCATTGAGCGCTTGGGGGGTATAATCATAATTTTGATGATTATCCACCATAGTGTTGAAGGCTTGGGAAAAATTATCGTATGACAATGCGTTATACGAAGTCGGGGCATGAATTTGTCCAGGGGCTTGCTGAACCGAGGACGGCTGCAAAATAAATCTAAGCATCGCGTATGCGTTATATATCAAAGAAGAGAAACTCACATCGTGAACTTGTCCTTCAAAGGACGGATGATAAGGAAGAGCGGCGCTTTCATCGACGACAAAAAGGTTCTGATAGGACGACGCTTCTCGACTTTCAAAGCTTTGAGAAGCATAGCCAAAATCAAACGACGTAGCCTGAGAGTCTCCACTGGTAGAATCAGAGTCGGTCGCGCTAGATGGCGGAGAGAAAGGCGCGGGAGAGAGTCGGAACGAGCTCGAGCTCTCCCCGGACGGAGTCGAACGAGTGTCTTCGAGTTCACCTCCCTCCTGCACTCCGGTGGCACTCGACGGCGCGCGTGCACGTCGCGTCCGACCTACTCTCGTCGCCCTACCACTGCGTCCCGACTGGCGAGCCGCCTTCTCCTGCTGAATCTGCTCCTTTCTCCGAGGCTGGTAGACGTACCCAGGGTACTTTGCCGCGTGTTCTTCCTTTTCTTGCTGAGCGCGAAGATAATACTCCTGCTTGGTCTGGGCAGAGGCCTTGGACCACCTCTTGGAGGCTTCCTTCGATTTGACGGCCGCGGCCAACGGCCTTCCTTCTGGGGTGGTTTCCTTCGACAGCTCGGCTGATACATCGCATCGGAAGATGAAGAACGCGTTCCGGGGACGACGAATCTTCTCGGTGCTTGAAGGCAAGGACTCGGAGCTTTGGGTGGCTTTTGGCATGGTTTCGGATGGTGGGGGTTTGGAAGATGATGAAGAGAACGATAGATGGTGAGATAGAGATAGCGATGAGGAGATCAACTATGACTTGGATTTTAGAGACAGTTGAGGGGAAAGTAAATGCTTAAAATATTCGATAAGATCGACTTTATGAAGGCCCCACACGTGACGGTCAATGTTGCTCGATTGGAGGAACAATAAGAGCAAGTTGACCTCGTTTTTGGTCGGGATCACCTAATTTGGGTTGAGATTGTGGTAGATCATGGTCTAGTTGCGGTGTTTGATGTCCAAGAAAGGAAGTGGAGGGATGAGGATGTGCAATAGGCCGGAGGCGAAATTGCGTTTTGACCGCGCCGGGGGGTCAAAGTAAAGGTCGGTCAAAAAAGAGGACTGATGTCAAAAAGCGGGCTGAATGGATGCCATTGGAAATGATACATAGAGATCAGAAAGTAACAACGAAAAGGTCGAGGTTGGATCAAATCAGAGAAGTTTCAGGAATGGACTGACCCGGATGTCTACACATGAAAAATTGTTTCCGTGTTCAACATAGACCACCATACTTATATGATATGGCTAGCCACCGGTCAAAGAAGACGATGGAATGTTGTTCTAGGCAAGTCCAAGTCTGTCCGACTGGCAGGAAATCCTAAACGAAACTATTTGGAAGAATACGCATGGAGAGTCACTTACTCAGAGATTGACCGTGAACAATAGGGGCTCTGTTCGTCTTTGAGCATGGATAGATTTACATTCAGCAAGAAATGGTGTCCTGGTTCAAACGTTAAAGCTCGAAGGGAAGGAATTCTTTGACCTGAATACATAGATGAAGCTGAGGCCCTGGTCAAGAGCTGTCAAGAGCGAGTCGTCAAGTGACAAGCATCCGAAAACAACACAACATTCAGGTGACGTCTGAGAGCCTTAGGCTTATGTACAGCTATGCTCAACATGGAATGCATGGAATACTGAAAGTCATGCATATGACGCTGATATGGAGACTTGGAGTACTGCAGACGGCGGTGAGAATGGCTCTGGCTAGCCAGTTTCTTCGAGAGAATGTGATCTGGATAGCGGCATCATCGTTTTGCTGATACGTAGAGCATCCCTTGTTGACCTTTGAAGGTGGTGTCGATGAAGCTTTGAAGTCGTGAATCCTGAGCTTGAGCTAGCAGTGAAAACAAGAAACCAAGAAAACAAGCTCAAAGCGTCTCGAGAAGAGGAAGGACGGCACTCGGGCCGGATTTGCCTGATGATTATCGCCAGGCTTTTTTGTTGCTTCTTTGCTCCTCCTACTATGTCGGCACTACCATCTCACCATCTGTTTTTGACAAGTCATAAACCTATACATATCTATTGCAGTGTCAGTGTGACGCCAGGATGAACGTCATTCTTCTCCAGTAGTTATATAGCTCATGCACCTAGTATGTATACCTCCTCCGTATGTTTTTTTATTTTCAATCTTCTAACTCTTCAAAATGGCTTACAGCGAAGTCAGAGCTTTGACTCGATCGTGAATTATTCTGTTGCTGACTATTTTGAATCGACTTAGGTTCGGTTTGCACCTGCTGGTCAGTAATCCCATCACCATGTTCTACTAAGATCAAGTATCTGACGCTAACTCTACAGCAGCTACAACCATCCCTGATACAACTGCCAGTCTATATAATGGCTCAACAGGAGGTGCAGTCGTTAGCCAAGGTGTTACCCCTACCACAGTTTCCAGCGGTGTACCCACCGTCGTACCTGTTACTACACCCTCCCCCGTCGCATCTAGTACCTCAGTCACCACCACACCAGTCACAGTAACCACCGCACTCCCTCAAGCCGCTATTCCAGAGGCTGGCGTTGCCCCTGTCATTCCTGAAGTCAGTACCGCTCAAACTGTACCCCAAGCGGGCGTTGCTACTACTGTAGCCCCCCAGGTTGGTGTAGCTGCCGCCGTGCCTCAAGCGGGAGTCGCTTCTACCATGCCTCAAGCTAGTATAGCTACTGTACCTCAAGCAGGTATGGCTTCTACCATGCCTCAGGCCAGTGTAGCTGCTCCGATGCCTCAGGCAGGAATGGCATCCACTATGCCTCAGACCAGTGTCGCTGCTGCTATACCTCAAGCAGGCATCGCTTCTACCATGCCTCAGGCCAGTGTAGCATCCACCATGCCTCAATCAAGCATGGCTGCGGCGGTCCCTCAAGCCGGCGTAGCTTCCACAATCCCTCAAGCCACTGCAGGGTCCGCACTCACTAGTTCTTCCGCTTTTGCTGGGTTACGACGACGTGCCCGAAGTCTCTTTGGAGGGCTTGGGGGACCTGGGGTAGGAGGACCGGCGAATGTTGGGGGCATGGGTGCTAATATGGGAGGAATGGGCACCGCGGGAATGGGTGGTGCTGGAGACATGGGAGCAGGATCGGGAATGGGAGTTGGGATGGGATCTGGAATGATGGGCCCCGGAATGGGTGCTGGAATGATGGCAACGGGAACTTTGGGTTCAGGAATGGGTACGGGAATGGGTCCTGGAACGATGGGATCAGGAATGATGGGTGCAGGACTCATGGGTGCAGGGACAATGGGAAGTTCCACGGCAGGATATGGAAACACCGTTCCGTACAATAACAGCATGTACTCAGGAGGGATGACTTATCCTTCTTCCGCCATGGCTCAGCCGCAAATGCAATACGGTGCCGCTGGCCAACAGGCTCCTGTCGTGGTTGTCACCAAGTCTGGGAGGAGGCATCATCACCGTTCGAGTCGACACGGACATGGCCATAGGCGGTCTCGGAGTATTGGATATTAGGTTTGTTTAGGTTGGGAGAAGGAGTGGTGATTTGTGTATTTGTATTGTACACTCTATTGTAATGACAGATATAATGCTGTCAAGTCTCATACTTTGCATCGCCTTCTTAGCTCAGTGGTAGAGCGTTGCACTTGTACAAGCCGACGGTTACAATGCAAAGGTCAGTCGTTCAATCCGGCTAGGAGGCATCTGCCAAAGCTTTTGTTTTTTGGACGGCAATTGATGGGTTGGATGAGTTCTCAAAAGTACATACCTGTTCCTATTTGGGACCCCACTGTTAGTGGAGCCGTGTATTATTCATTCATTCATTCATTCATACCACTGCCAACATTTTAATCAAAGGGATGGCAGATGCTCATTGCTTGGCCTGCAGGCTGCCCATCTAGTAAGTATGTGATTTTGGTTCTCTCAAAACTTTCCTTTCCAACATGTAATGGATATCAATTGTTTTCTACAAAACAATCTCTGAAACACAGGACTAGCATAGGACTGCGGCAAGACTCAGATGAATGAAAATCAACTCCGAATCCGAACCTTCCTTCTTGGACGAACACAGAGTTCATTTTACTGAACCACAACATAACTCTTACCGCGGAACCGAGTGAGGGGGTTTATCACACAGCTGGAGTCTCTGCATATAAGAGACGTCGAAATCATACCCCCTCCCCAGCCCGGTCTCATACTTACTCTACGCGCTCCTTTGCTGGTCAAAGAGAGTGTCGTCACTACAAACTCATCACTCATCAGACAGATAGATTCTGCAATCACCTACATACCTTCTCCATTTACTATCATGCATATCAATTCCGCTTTATGCCTCGTCCTCAGTCTTGCCTACGCAGCATATGCATCCCCGTTATACGTGAGTGACGGACCCGACAACGATTGAAGGTATAACTTAGCTGACGCGCTGACGACTCGGTGACCCGTTCCCTTGATTCTAGGGCATTGACAGACTGGAAGCTCGTTCTTCCTCTGCTTCCGAAGACTCTAGCACAATGTCATTGGCTGCCGCCGTCCCTCCTCCTCCAGGAAGCCGTAGCTCTCTGGGAAGTACGAGCATATCCCAAAGAGCCCCTGCTATCCTCGACAGTACCCTGGGTCCGAGAGAAAAAGAAAAGGACTCGGGGACTTCGACGGAGAAGGAGAAGGAGCCCACGGAAGAATCCGAAAAGGAGACAACAAAGGAAAAGGAAACTCCCTCCCCTAATCCGAAACCACCTAAACCTCCTCAACTCACCGAGATCATGGTCACCTTCCCCACCGCCGGCACCACGAAACACTTCCAAGTCCAGCGAGCAGTCAAGTCGGCTGTGAAGAGCCTGCTTGTTGCGGCCAAGTCCAAACTGGGGATAACCGGAGCGATCACGGTCGGGTTTAGGAACTCGTTTTCGTCGCACAAGTTGGTCCCGACCGAGGCGGATTTCACGTTTGTGGAGAGCGTGTGTGAGGGGACGTGTAAGGGGACGGTGAAGGGACCTGGGAAGGGGGTGATTTATAATGCGAAGGGGGGTGTTGTGTTTGAGGCTAAATGAGCTGTATGGTGTTGGGATTGGGTTGGGATTGGGGAGACTGCTGCGAGTGTATGATAAGTCTGCTATGCAAGGTCAGTAGTAGATAAGCATGAACAAATGACTCGTGCTTGGCTCGGAAACGAACACGCTCATCCTTTTAGTCTATGCTCCAGAGGCTCTGCGAGAGCGAGAATAAAGTAGAGTGTCTAGATCTAATGACCGGAAAGCATACATACAACATGTGGCGAATAATATACAAAGGATTGACCAGGATAGAGAAGGAATTAATCAGTACAATCGTAAGGGGCGTAGCAAGCAGAGGACCTGCAAAGTCATAAAGATAGTCTGAGGTGATAAAAAAAGCAGACCGAGTAGAAGTGAAAACGGAGTCCTCGCAGCCCTATAGCCTACACACGCGTAACAGTGAGCACTGCTACAAATCCGTCCTGCTCGATGCCATGGTTCACACCGTCGTTCCCTGGTTCGAGAAGACCTTTGACCCATTCTACCTCTGTTTGCCACCAGAGGGAATTCCAGTGAGTCGGTGTACAGACGGCCTGAGCGACAAGGAAATCACGGCCGATGTTATAACCGTTAGGGATGATCATATGGTTCTTTCCAGAGTTCTATGATCGACAGTGTGAGTATTGTGGAATCCAATCAAAGAACAGGGAGAAGGGGAGGACCGACCTCTTCCTTAGATGCACCTAAAAACCATGCACCAGAATCGGCCATGGAGCCGTTCTGTTTCCATGCGCGAAAGTGATTGCCACCTGAGATGACGGATATGAAGATGATGAACAACTGCAGTGTACGGAGAACGCACCAGCTAGACTTTCCCAGCAAGTTCCAAAAATGGGGCCACCAGGTCTTGTGAAGTAGTATTGCCTTGCAAGCACCTGCTCATCTTGCCTCTCGTTACCATCTCCAAGGTCCGCTTGATGTACGTTGCCATAGTGGATGCCAAAACACTCGCTCGAAAAGCCAAGAGACCTATATCAGGAAGGATTGATTGAAGGAATTACTTAGGGAGAGCCTGGAGAGGGAGAGGAGACTTGCTTGACATAGTTTGAGAAACCAGTCTCAGAAAGAATGTAGGGATCTGATTTGCCAGATATGATAATATTCAGAGGTTCGCCTTTGCGACGAGTGGTGAACTGCGGAAGTGATTATTCAGTATTTGTAGAGCTGAGACAAGGAGGGAATTGCTTACATCCAGCAATCGCCCACCAAGTATCCTTGGATCCACCCATCCCCTTGTTATATCTATCTCTGAGTCCACCACTGACATATCTGTTGTAGTAACCTTGAATCCTAAGGGTGCCTGCGTCTTTGAAGTTGAAACCCAATTCCAGTTCCACTTGCGTGGGCTTTCATCGCTCGAGCGTAGAGGTGAGCTTTGAGCGCAGTCCGAGAAGATCGAAAAGAAAAGAGGTATGAAGATAAGGGTGAGCATCTTGGGAGACTGTAGGGACTTGTATATGGAGTTCAAGAGATGCCTGACAAGTTCAAAGATCGATTAGTGGAGAGAGATGGGCATAGAGGTTAGAGTTTGAAACGTTGAAGTTGTCAATGTCTTACCACACGTGCACAAACACAGCAATCTCGGAGATTGTAGCGTATACCCTATCTCCAGCGGCGGACAGAAAGACTCCAAGTTGCGATAATCAAGCAGAGATAAAAGCCTCTAATGGATTTGCACCTGCATGCCTATACATATAGAGGTCGAAGGTTGTTGATGAACGTGACTACAATTCGTTGATAAATGCCGCGGCTGATGTCATTTAGTTCGTCAAATTACTACTTTCTTCCTCTGAACCCAGACTCCTTCCCATCCGCTATCGCGAGTCGGGGTTCGATTGTTATAACTCGATAAGGTTCCGGAAGATCCGGATCAAGGCCCCGGTCGGAAGCTACCGGAGCCCAGGCCGGAGATCCTACTATCTACGGACTGAGTGACTATTTGTACAACCTATGTGACTACTACGTGACCAAACTAGTTCATCTCTGAGTCCGCGGACCACCACATCGATTTGCAAAGTCTCTACATAATGACCATAGGTAAGTAAAGAAATTATCAATCCAATGCCCGTTACGCACCTTGATTGCTACATGGCAAATCCAATTTGACAGAACTGGACAAAACTGATGAGAGCTTAGCGGGGAAAATGAATGTTGAAGGGGTTAGTTTTCCACTCAGCTTCTTGCCTGCACCTTATAAGCGTTCAAAAGATGCTGACTTCTTTCCTGTCAGGGAACTTGAGTCAGAACGTCCCGTCATCTTCGACAGCAAATTCTTATTTCGAGTTTCAAGAAGAAACGGTAACTAGCTTTCAAACTTAGTGGCATTGTGATGTAAAGGATGCTTTTGAAACCTGTAAGCGCAAACATCTAGGCTTTGAAGAACAGTGTCAATGGGCTTTGTAAGTGAATCCAAGGAGTTTTCAGGCTCTGACTTCGTAAAGAACTGAAGTTTTATAAAATGAGTAGATTGTGTTGAATGTTTTCGAAGGCAACACTATTGCCATGCTGCCTTGGGATCAGCTCCTCAACCCTCTCCCCAGTATTGTCTCTGGAACTGACGATCCCTCGCAGACTCCTTTGGCTATATCCAAAACTCGCAATGTCAAGATCAATCGACAGACTACTGTGGAAGAACTCTATCATTACACGCAGAATACCAAGATTGAGTTTCCAAAGACAGCAGCAGATGGAAAGGCCATTGGACATCTTTTCGATATGGACAATACTCAAGCATGGATATCACCTTCTCGGTCCTTTGCATATTCTCTTGGAGAACCCCGAGGCCTTACTCGAAATGTCTATACTGATGTTCTGGTTAACTCCGATGGTGAAAAAGTACCATGCAATGTACTTTACTCTACTTGTGCGCTCGAATCTGATTTGTTTAACTGGTATATGTCTACAACTGACTGTATGATTCAGGTCAGGGAGTAAAGATATGTCCCTACCTCGCATCATCTCTCAAAGAGCAGACACATACTTCAGGCTCTCGTGATCAACGCACATTTGATCTTGAATGCGAGCAGCGGGAAAGGACTACTTCACTCGACCGTGATCTATTAGAAAAGACCCTAAATTATTGGGCATATCTCCGAGATAATGGATGCGGACGGGAGCTTCAGCAAACTACTCACTACACAGACCATGAACTTGATCACTACAACGCAGTTCATGCCAGCCCTCGGAAGAAAAAGAGGGGTCATCAGCCTAAGCCAACCTGTGAAGGAAGAATTGTACTGAGGTATACGTCAAATGAACGGCCATATCTCTGGTAAGAAATACACCTGGGCATAGCACCATCTGTCTCACGAATATTTTCTTAAGTTGCGAACATTTTAACAAGCAAACCTCCAGGAATCATTTCTGCGATTTCTCACTTGCAAATGATATCTTTCATTCTGAATATCTCTTAGCATTATGCACCGGAGACATGGATGATGTATATCATTGGGAGAAAGCTGCATCGGATGATGGCTACGGACCCCTTGCTCCATGTAGTACAGTCCGGAATAATACTACAGTCAGGATTGATTGTCGTGAGTCAACTTTTGCATTCGAGGTCTCACAGCAATAACTGAGAATCAATCAGCAATCCAGCATTGTACTTCGGAGGGCTCAATGCTTATGACAGAGATGGAAAGTCTCAGTTG